TCTATTGTATATTTATTTTTCCGAGCGTATTGGAAGTTTCTAAGCAGTTCTACATTTTTCTTAAGCTCGGAATGTTTTAAAAACTGCAAGAACATCTTCGTTATAATTTACAGTCTCCAAATATATCTAGTTTTTATCACAATTTATGATCACAGCCGAAATAGTACGAAAAAACATATGGGTCCATTAGACCTCAGAGTACACTCCGTGTACCTAAATAACGAGTGAACGATTAAAGGGTTAGTTTCTTTTTTAATATAATAAAAACTATTGTTGTAGAATAAGAGCAACCATTTCCGAAACTTATATCTTCAACTGTGATCATCATATAATCAGTTACAACTGGATTACCTATTCGATTAAATTTCATAGTGTTCTCCTGATGTGAATAAAAATAGAGTTATTTTGCCAGTTTACTTTCTTGCTCTATTAATGCAATACTGTGGGCAGACATAAATGCATGTGCGCACGCGCATGAATTTACCCATACAAATATTAAACGAGTAGCGCTCAAGTAGCCTGACAAGATGATCGCAATTATTTGGAGAAACTTGAAAGTACCCGACTACTTACTAGACGTCCACTACTGAGACTTTCTACTGTGTCCTGCTGGACTGATTGTAAGTAGCAGATTTAAGAAAAGAAGGCTTGACAAATCACAACCGTGAACTGCGTATTTCTACCGCAAATTCAGAAATATTCTATAGACAAGTACACCAACTGCGATTAGCAGGTTCTATTTTCCTTCTTTTTGAAAGGAATTGAAGGAAATTGTTTAATTATCCGTGTTAGTATTTTCGATGGGAAGTAGTTATTACTGTAGCAAGGTCTGGTCAGAGAATCTTAATCAGCGTGACCTGTTAAGCTTGGTTGCTAAGCGTGAAGGCTGCCTGTTAATTTTTCTACAAGGCTGATGACACTACTGTCTGAAAATAATTAAATTGTGGGAGCGTCAGCGTTCTTTCATTTTTAAATATTTTTTGGTTTTTACACTTATCCGTCATAACTTGATGTAAACAACTTTATTGATATCGTGAAGTAATCCTAAAACAAGAGAATACAAAACGATCGCTATACAAAAGTAGATTATATTCAATTCTTGCTAGTGACAAATGGAAAACTGTTAAAGTATCATTGATATATTTAATTTAAAACAATAAAATGTTGAGAACCACGCAACAATTTGTAAACATAGAAACTGCAAAGAAAATATAAGGTGTTAAAATTTACACAAATACGTAAATGCATATTTGAATATTTGGATAAATCGATACTTGAAGGCAAAAATGATTTGAAAAAATAAGCGTGGGAACAATCAAATTTACTATAATCTACAAATGTTTGCTATTACACAGTCGAATTTTGCCTATACCTCCCTCACCTAAATGTTAAAAATACGGTAAACTTGTGTCCTTCTAAAATCGAAAGTCTTGAATGTTTCTATTATTACGGCATTGTCAACATAAGAGTAATTGTTTTTTCTAGACAATTAAATCTGATTCGTCAGTAGTTCCAAATTTTTAATACGTAACTATACGCAAGCATACGTAGATGTGATACGTAGAATAAAATACTAACTCCCACTAAATCTCCATCGCACAATTTACTTATCAAGTCATTTTTCGCAAATTGGTAATGGATCTAAATAAAGTACGAATTTTTGTTAAAAAATCTGACGGTTTTTTAAAGATATCTCGAAGTGTTATTAGTACATCGAAGTACATCAATGTAATTAAAAGAAATTTACTTTCTTTATTTCAGATGAACCGTTTTCTTGAGAAATCTTTAAAACCATTGACCTACATCTTCTTTAACACGGCCCTACAACTATGGGTATATCTTATATTTATTAATATTAAAAAAAATTTTAAACTACAACATGTTAAAAATATGTTGTTCGCATCATCAAGAAAAGACTAATGTATAATATATGCAATAAACTTTCCTTTTAACACTAGATTGCCCAAGGAAGTCATTTTGACTGCTTGGGAAATTTCAAATAATCAAATGACTCTTATTATTGAATTGAGTAAATTTCTTATATGCCCAGTTCGGCTCTGTATTGAAATAACAGTTTTCATTTTTTTTCGATATCGTCACATGATAACATACAAGTACATGATAAATTGTCGATTTGGGCGTATACTTGATAAGTTGCAGTTGCTCAATAAGCTAAAGTAGTACTTGTTATTCCAATCTTTATGCAGTGATACTTGTTCTAACAAGTTATTTATTTTATTTATTTTTCGCCCTAAACCCATGAAATAAATTTCGAATAGAAGTATATAACTGTAAATAATGTAAAAAACATTCAAAATTAATTTTAAACAAATTTCTTAACACATTCAGTCTTTCTAGTGTTAAAGGAATATTCTTAAATATAAATGCAAGTTTATTGAAAAGTCACTCAGCTGACTAATATGCATCGACTAAACCTTCTTAATTCAAATTAAACAGATAGAAAAAACGCGGTGTTGAAATGTAGAACAGGTTTGGTCAGAGTGTATATGTGTGATGACATGTGAACCATATCATATTTTCAGCGTCCGTACATACACATATGTGATCGTAGAAATAGTACCAAGCGTGATCCCGTGGTGGCGCGTCGGTTGCGCTCTGATTCATCGAGCCTTTCGCTTTCCTCGTGTTCGCCCGAGCGAGGAACGAGGTGATAGTTTTTCTTGTTCCTTTTTCTCCTCTGGATGCCATGAAGATTGTTAATTAGTTGCAATCCCTGATGCGTCACGGTTCAATGACTTTATTAAACCTTTATCGAGTACTTCCGATCAATAATTCATTTTTTATGCAATATAAGAATAAGTTCGTACCAGAGCTTTGCTTTATTATATAGAAGTGGTGTCGCATGCTAATGCGTTCAATGAAATTCAATCGGTGTCGTAACATACGATGAAATAAGTGCAGAGATACAATACCTTTCGATTACGCTAAAACATTGTATTATCCAATTCTCGGATTACTAACTTATCCGAGGATTAGCATCAATTTGATTAATTTGGAGATCCTGATTTCCGCTAATTCATAACGTTTGAGCATAAAACCATTTGAATTCTTCACTAATCTTGCAGTCTCTCATAATTTGTAAATTACAGTTTTTGAGAAGAAGTACGCGGAAGAATTATAACTACAAATAAATTTTCTTCTTAATCCAAAATTTAAATAACAGTTCAATAATAGATATGATTTTTTCTACAATTGCAATAAGCATTCTTGCTGTGAACGATTGTTACTCAGTTTTATATTAATTGATATACTAGAAGTTGGAATAGTAATAACACTGTGCAAATAAGTGATATAAATTAAATATATGATTATGCAAATCAAAATAATGCTGTAATTAAAATACATTAAGTAATCGTAACATGCAGCAAAATTCTCCAAAACGCTTTAAATGATTAGGTAATATATTATATAGCCGGGTGCCTGGCTCGTCCGCGCTATAATTAATTTATCCACAGTGCCCCGCCAGGGAGTGCTAGAGAGCTAGGAATTTCCGAAAAATTAGGAGTTCTGATCGGGAATCAAACCCGATACCTTCGGGCTGCCAAGTCGGGCACTGTCCGATCTGATAAGTCCTATTTATTTATTTTTTCGCTCATTCCTAGCTGAACATCCCCTCCAGCTCTGCAACGCCACATTACAATATATTTATACACACTCACACATATATTGAGACGTTTCGCCATTTTCAAGTGTTAGCAATGACGAGACTTTTTAAAAGATTTGTGCACTGGGCAGGCGTCTGATAGGAAACAACACTTGATTTTAAAATTAAATAATCGTACTATATTGTTCTATAAATCATATGCTAGAAAATCACTTAATTACTATATCATTCTCTCAAACACTCTTATAATTGTGTATGTACAGTCTTTCTTCTTGTACCGCAGGCGACAAGAAGTGTATTTGTTTATCTTTTCCCTGCGCTAGCTTCTAGGAGTGGGACAGAGATAGCCGGAACTTTAATACAGCAGATTGTACAATGCGTCCATGACTGTAGGCCAGCTGATAATAGGCATGATAATGATTCAGAGGATTCTCCCGAGGTGTTAACGTCGCTTTTTGATTTGATATTTTGATTTATTTCTTAATTTGACAATTTAATTTGACTAATTGGATTAGCGGTTTCTTCAAGTACCGGCTTGGTGGTATTTCTTTTGTAGTAGGCACGTGCCGACTCATAGTACTTGGGTACTCTTTTCTTTTGATTCCCGTCACATGACTGGAGTTTGGATTCTTGAAATATTCAAGATAATAATCGGTAATATTATTTCCTCATGGTTTTCGTTGTGACTAATTTCAAAGGAATGTAATATTAGGGATTTAAAGGTCCTATTTTCCATTTCCTTTATCGGCGTTGCTGTCAGAGGTCGATAGGAGTTTGGAGGAGTTATAGAATTTGAGGAGTTCTCTCAGATACTATTATGCACATCCACAGTGCGCTATGCACTATGTTGGGCGAGATATGGATAATTGGGAAGGAAAAGAGATAGACAATGGAGGGGTATAAGAACGGAACGTTACAATGTATGTATACATATAGTCCATCCCAAATATCTGTTTCTTTTCGACAGGTCGCGCCCTATAAAATTTTCAGTAAACCCTAAGTAGATTTGTAAAAAATTTACGCGAGAAACTATATAAGTGCTTTATTTTGCGCTGAGATATATTAAATTTTTTTCCTTGACTATATTTTTTATAGATTCTACGGTGAACCATGTGCAGTTTAATTGTTTTGGAACTATTAAAAAAACATTATATTATAAAAAACTATATCATGACTTTTTACGTTCATTATATCTTATTACTGCTCAAAGTAGATACTGATTGTATCGCTACATATAATGGTGCCTAGAAACCTTATATTTAAAAAAATGGGTTATTCGCATCATATATCCTTCCTTTTTCAAAGAGTAACCTTGTATAAATAATTTTCGTAATTCGAGTAGACTTTTCAAAAGGAAACAAAAATTATAAGTAAAACGATGGTGAGCGACTTTAAAATAACATTAGTCGATGAAGAAAGTCTATCCAGTTTACCAGGTGCTCCTTATTCATAATCACGTTCAATACATACTTCTAATGTTAAATCTGAAACTATTTGATTCACTAATTTTTACAAAGCGTCTCCGCAATAGGCACAGTTAACATGATGTATTTGAGATTACAAAAGTCTTATAAAATAAGAGACGATAAAAGACGCGAAAGAAGTTATCCTATTATAAACAATAGAGACTTCCGGAACTTTCCTCACAAACACGTCATAAACACGAAAGCAAGAGCGACATCAATTTGTATGGTCGGTGTCCCAAATAGCACAACGCGATTGATATGCGCATTGGCAGCAACGCGTAGTAATCCGGTTGGCGTGCACATTAGAAATCGAGGCCTTCTCGAAAGACGCGTCATGACCTCAAGTACGTAATTATTGGTTTCTTTATACATATTTATAACGTTACATATTTATACGCACTTTACAATTTTCATACTTTCGTTTCTAGTTCAGCATCAAAAGCTCCAAAAACCATTTTCCCAAACATAACGAAGTTGTATTTTCCGAGAGTGACTTTCTCACGACCTCAATCTAAAGATCTTCGCAAATCGCCTAATACTGTCACTGGTATGTATTTTATTATAGTATGAGAACATGTATGGATGCCCAATGCAACATATAAAAAGTCTCGTGGCCTTTATCAACTTGTCTAATACACACGTGCTCATAATTATGAAATGTTACAACAATAAAGATACTGATCATAAACCAATGTGGTTTGAAAGGAACTTTCATGCGCTACCATATAGAAAATGTTCAAGTATCTTATACAACAGCTATCCGAAAGAGAATGTAAGCCTATGTGAGGGAAACGAATTTGTGTACTGAAAATGCCGAGTAAACAAATTATCCGATCGAATTGAAATTAAAAAAAAATCAAGATCTGAATATAGATGAGAAAGCATTGATTACAGATATTCAATATCTGTAGTCGGAGTTTTATATTATATTAATATCGGAGTTAATGTTTGTACGATAACGAATTAATTCGCTATAAAGTATACATGCTACCGTGATGCGAACTCTCTGTGTTACATTTATATTGTTGTATAAAGGAAACGCGCAATAAGTTCTAAAAAATACATATATATTTTTTTTGTATTCGATGATTAAAAAATTTTGACATCAAGTCAGCGATTTATATCAATTAGCATATTCCTATTTTCATTTCATTTAATATCCCTTAGAAATGTTTCTAGCCATCTTTAAATTATATCTATGAGAAAACGATCAGTTTCGTGGATCGTTCGCACCTATATCCAAGTAATATTTGTTAAAGTTTAAATGGTTGTTATATAAACAATGCAATAGCATGTTATACATCGCCATTGCAAAAAAGCGTATTTTATGCATCTGACGTCTCTAAAATTTCATCGATTCATCTACATCCGAAATTTGATATTTCTTATACATATACAGTAATGGGCAATTGAAGTGGAACACTTGAATTTTTGTGTATTTCTGCGAAACTATGACCGATTTCAAAAAACCAAAAACTTATTTGTTAGGAAATTTCCTTCCCGTTGGAATGGTAAAGGGGTTATCCCGATCGGATACAAAATAGTTGAACGGCAAGAATTGGAGTGAAATAGTGCATTTTGGAAATTTTTGAAAACTGCGAGAACTAGTAGTTCCGGAAGAAAATTCATATTTGTAATTGGGGCACGAGTAAGAGCATCCTTCGGCATTAGAAAAACACCCCCATTGACCTCCTGTAGCATCGCTCTAGGGGGAGTTACACCCCCTTGAAGTGAAAACACTTAATTGGCCATAACTTCCGAACGCGCCGGCCAATCTGGTGCAGTTTCTGCGTGACATCATATTTAATGATACTGGAGATTTTCACAAAATTATTGTTCTCAGAGATGATCCCGTGACGGAGATCTCAAAATATCGCAAGCGCACCCGAAGCTTCCCCGCCATTTTTCATTAGGATTGCGGTGAAATAGAAGTGTCATATTTAACCCATGTTGTAACTGAGATTTGAAGAATTAAAACGCGATATTAACCTCTTAGGAACGGCTGAATTTTGCGCGGGGCTGTTTCTCTGTACGGCAGAGTTCAACGCGAATTACGTGTAAATGATACGGCACTGCAATGTGTGACGGGTAATGCTGTTCTTTACACGAGTACATTGGAATGAAGTGTTTGATGATTAAATTATAATTTTTCTTAAAGATATGATACACTCATTTTAACTTTAACAATTTATTCTACTAATTAATAATACAATTCAGTATGGCATCCGCGAAAGCCTCTATAGTGGCGCATAGTGCCTAAGAGGTTAAACATCCAAAAATGAGTTTGCTAAGGGGTTACAATTTTCATTTGAAAAAACACCTAAATTTTGCGAGTTTCGCTCGAGGTACTCGGGTGACTACTACCCTACTACGCGCGCCAAGCAATTGTCCGCCGTGGGCCTCGAGCGAAACTCGCAAAATTTATGCGTTTTTTCAAATGAAAAATTTAACCCTTTAGCAAACTCATTTTTGGATGTTTAATATCGTATTTTAATCCTTGAAATCTCAGCTACAACGTGGGCTTAATATGAAACTTTCACTTCACTTCGAGGGGGTTCCATATCATTCTATTATTTCCTAAATATTGTACGACAATAATTCATAACGGATATCCAAATTCGAGATCAAATTTTGACGAAAATTAACAGGTGCTTTCATAGAATCGTAATAATCATTGATGAGATCTATTATGTGTGTATGCATTAATTCATTATAGTTCCTCGTAATAATTCAAATAGCAATATTATATACCCAATTTCAATCACGCAATGTGTCAAAAACAAAATTTTATCCAGCATGCAATTTGGGAATTGCAGTGAACAGTATTAAACCTATTGAACTAATACTACTTTTTATTTGTAATATTAAAGATGTAAATGAAATTATAAGAAAACGACTAGCAAAAGAAATAATAAATATTGTACCGTGGACAAAAAATTATATTTCTTTACTTTCGTTTATTCTAATAACGAGTTGTCTATTTATAGCATCAAAAATCTTATAAAGTTTTGCAAAAGCTGGTATACTCATACTAAAAAACTCGTCGCTGCAATGAAATCGCCTGTCATACCCATATATAAATGCATACGTATGTGTCGATAACATAGTATATACAATAATCATGATTAAATCATGAATAATCGTTTTGAGCATTGTAAGCCACAGATGACTACCTATGTACGCTTGTGTACTACATGCATAGTAGGAATGTCGCAAGAGTGATTAGCATTCGCCGTTTCTCAGAAAGAAGTTGCATCTTCCCATTCTAAAAATGAAGGTGGAACTTTTCAGCGTTCTTGGTGAGATAGTGAGGAATAGTCGTGTATGGTGAACCCTCATACGTCATCCGATTCTTATTGTTTCTCAAGTTTCATGTTTCTTCTGCGCTTGCTCTTCCTAAACAGTAAGTGTAATTCTGTTTTTAATTGTGTAATTGTATTCAGATTCTGTAATCCAATGAAACGCAACTTCCAATTTTTCGAATTCGAATAGCAAGTCAATTAGCTAATGAGGCATTGTTCGTGATGTTAATAATGGAAGCGATGCGTGTCACGATTGTTAAGTCGATCAAGTATTTCACTTAACCTAAAAATTAAAGACACTTTCCCTCGTTATAACTACGAGTCCGCCTCTATTCGATTCATGTACTTACGAATGCACAAGAGGAATTCTTAGTGCGTTAAGGCGGAATGGAACAGACATTCCTATGTATGCGTGTGTCACATGTACGAGAGCTCGAAACGAGGAAAGTTCGCACCCAACAATCTTTGTACGGAAAGCACTATCAATAAATTGATGACAAAAACCTAAAGCCTTCCGATAAAGTAACTTTGCGTGCAGAGCCGAATTTTTTAATTATTGTCTAGGAGACATATAAAATATAGGTGAAAATTGAGACTGGAAGCTTATGGACCTGTCATGGCGATCTAATGATATCTTTGCCGTACCCTGTCTCACACTTATCGCATTATTGCACAGAATCACGGACGAAAATAAAAAAAAGGGCTACGCAGGGAAAGTTCTACATGTATAAGCTTAACACCATTTCAATGGAAATTTTCGTGGTACAGCCATTTCCGAGAGTTTTGGGTATTAACATACAGAACTGTCAATACGCAGATTTTCCTCGCCTAAAACTTGAGTCGTTTGCCGCTTCGAGCGCTTGTGTATCCATGACGTCAATATGCGCTGTAGAGGAAACGCAGAGGACAGGATAATCCTCCGTCAAATTCACCTGCGTCGTTCGTTCACTGTTTCATCATTTCACAAGGAGAGTCTCCAACAATTGGGTTTTTGTAATTTTTTTTATACTCATGGTACGTGAAGCTGAGAACTCGAATAGCACTTTGCCAAAGCAATTCGATGCTATATTCAGAAAATCTCGAGAAAATCGACTTTGAAATTTCGCAAGCGCTTTATGTACACCAAATTATTATACATATATGTATATTATTAATGAAAGAATATTACCGCTGGAGATTATTATTTTTTCGCCTATTCGACATTTCAAGCTAGAAACAATTAAAAATAAAACGTGCGATTTTCATTGAAGATTATAATTATATACATATATGTGAATTGGCATAGATGTGGTGATTTTTATATTTAAATAACGTAAGTAGGCGAATTGGATGAAAAAACTCCTAGAAATGAGACTTGAAACAGCGACCCCGCCATTACTTGGCTCGAGCGCTACCAGATGAACTACGCAACGTGTTCAAATACTGTAACACATTTGGTGTATGTATGTAGCTTTCGCAAAACTTCAAACTCGATTTTCTTAAGAATTTCTAAATATGGCATCAAACTGCTTTGGCAAACTGCTATTCGAGTTCTCAGATTCACGTACCATAAGTATAAAAACAAGGCTGCAAGGTAGAACCTTGCAAATTGCTTCCTCATTATTTTACTTGGTTTTTTTTTTATCACGATGATGCAAAGTAGAATCTTACACTTTGCTTCTTGATTCTTTTCCTTCGTTCGCAAAGCCTCCACTATGAGGAAGTTCTTCGACTTATTTTCGCGAGTTATGTACAATTGAACTTTGGTACTTACAGGAATAAAAAATAAAAAATGTATAATCTAAAAAAAACTAGCCACGTTACACACGGCTATGAAATGCTGTAACAAACACGGTTGCATCATATTTTCATTATGTACAAAGTTTTGGCTCACTTCCTTCAATTTTGCGGAAGCTGATGCACTAACGATAATTTTTTAAAAATTTCAAAACCACGTAAAATCTGAACCGCTTTAGCGATCTTGTCGAAATTCAATACCAAACAACATTGAACGTATCTTCAGTTACGAAGAACTATTTACCTAAATCGTCGAACCTTTACGAAAGTTAGAGCGACCACGCCTTTTTTTCAAAAAATTTTAAATGACAAAATCTGAATAGCTGCATATATTTCATTAAAAATTGCAACATTTAAAGAGGGATATCTACTTTACTTTCGTGCCAAATTT